GTTTCTATGGTGTCCTGTTTGAGGCAGTTAAAATATCGCCTGTTACGATTTAAAATTGACTAAATCTCTTGTTTAAGCTCGACTACTCACAAAATAGGAAGAGCTATTGTAATTGTGAATTTTGACAGAACTACGGCAATTTTTGAAGATAAAAAATTCTTCATTATTCTGAGGCTCTTTGTTTTACTATCAAGCACTGAGACTATAGTCAAACGCACTGGCTCTTGTTAATAGATAAGTTAGGGAGATTTAACATTTCTCGTCCGAATTAAGACTTTTCACTATTGACACTGGTAATAAGTTAAAGTTCTCGAAAGAAACATGCGAAAATTAAGGTTAAAGCTGCTTGCCTAAAGATTAGTCAAAATATTTCAATAAAATCAAACATCAGAAATGTGTACTATAATATAAGGAAAAGTAAAATGATGCAAGATTCAAGTAATACATGTTTTACAAGTTATGTGCGGTTAAGGACAGATTTTTCAGTATTCTTAACTATATTTATATTGCGTTACTAACGCAGTAAGGCATATTTTTGCATATTTTGACCACTTTTTTGGTAATTTACGTGAGCTGTAAGTGCCATTGATAATGTGTTATTTGCTTCCTTTATATTAAACATTCAAATACATTTTCAAAAATTTTCGTGAAAATTAGCATGAATCTGGAGGTGTGCTGCTTGATTCATCGCGAAGATTTTTACATTTTGATTTCGCACCAGGATTTAAATATGAGAAAGTATAAGCATGAGACAAATTCAACGTTGTACATATAGCGCGACAAGTTCCTTGCGAGAATGAAAAATATTGCCACTTTTTCTATGAAAATACAGAAAGAGGAGTCCCAGCCAACATTCTATATCGGCCCGACATCAAACCTATATGGTTTTCTATAACGGCCCGACATCGGATTAAATCTCGGCTGCAAATAGGAATGATGTCGGCCCGACATCGGTAGTACAATATCGGGCCGATGTCTTAACAATATCGGCCCGATATTTCTTGCCTACATCGGGCCAACATCAAATCAACATCGGCCCAATATTTGTTGCCTACATCGGGCCAACATCAAATCAACATCGGCCCAATATTTCTTGCCTACATCGGGCCAACATCAACCTGATATTTCTTACCTACATCGGGCCAACATCAAAACAATAGCGGTGCGATGTCAGCCAACAGAAGATATCAGCCCTACATTGACCACGTATGATCCTTAGGCTAGCCTGTTGATTCTGACAAGCAACAGGCATTTGGCATAGCCTGCAATTTAAACATTTCTTGTTGTTAACTTCCTTAAAGGAGAAACAAAATCACAACAAATGAACTAAATTCAATAATCAATTTTAATAATTCTAAACAATGACAAAATTTGATCACATTATTATCATTAAAAACACATTGGTTGAAAGACAACTTTGATATAAGAAAAATGCATGTTTTATTGAGATATCAACAGTTTTAATTTGAAAATTAAGGGCATGGAAATGACAAAATTTGATTTTTAAGTGTTTAAAGCAATGTATTTTAAGTACTTTTGAATGCAATGAATCTTTGTTTATATTCTGATTACAACAGATACAGAATACCTAAAATGAAAGAAGTTTGTATACCTATTTGTTGGCAATCAATCAAAAGAAACATGCCCCAAAACAAAGGTTAAAGACACTAGAGATGCTTTAAAGATCTTATCAATTAATCTTTTTTTTTCCTTTGAAAATTGGAGAGAAATAGCAATTTATACATATATTACCTTAAGACTAGAGTAACAATATATATACATGTTTACAAATAATGAAAAGAACTGTTTATTTGAAAAAATTATGAAATCATAAAATAATTAACAAGGAACACAAACAAGAGCTGTCGGTAGGACAGCAACGCTCGACTATTCTAGTGCTTGATGGTAAAAAAATAATGCTTGATAGAGTTACCTACTCCTGTTTACAGGTTGGTGTCATGATGGTGAACAAGTATGCAAAGTTTCAAAGCCATATGTCAATGGACTTTGAAAATATTTGAGGTATTACAAAAAAACTTTAACGTAAATTCTAAGTCGAAAAAGGGGCATAATTCTGTCAAAATGCTTGATACAGTTACCTCCTCCTGTCTACAGGTTGGTGTCATGATGGTGAACTAGTGTGCAAAGTTTCAAAGCCATATGTCAATGGACTTTGAAAATATTTGAACTATTACAAAAACTTTAACGTAAATTTTAAGTCGAAAAAGGGGCATAATACTGTCAAAATGCTTGATACGTTACCTCCCCCTGTTTTTCAGGGGGGGTCATGTGGTGGGAAAAAGTGTCCAAAGTTTCAAAACCATATTTTCTGGACTTTGAAAATTTTTTAGAGGTTACAAAAATTTAACATAAATTTTTAAGTTTTAAAAAGGGGGATTTTAATTTTTGCTCAAAATTTCTTTTACAGAGTTACCCCCTCCTGTCTACAGGTTTGGGGGCATGATTTGGGGAAAAAAAATGTGCCCCAAATTTCAAAAGCCCTATGTCAAAGGGCTTTGAAAAAATTTGAAACCCATCACAAAAAATTTTAAAATAAGTGGCTTTAAACCGAAGCGGACGCCCGGGGTGACTACAAAAAGCTCTACCCTTTTTCCCTTTTCGAAAAAGTCGAGCTTAAAAAAAAAAGTAAAAAATAACTACTTATTTAAACGGGAAATTTGGGCAAAAAACATGACTAAAATAAAACAAAATTGTTAATGAATATAAACAACCTCAACAAACTGCTAACATTAAAAAAAGATATGTCATGCAAATATATAATTTCAATTATGCAGATTTTACAAATATTTATATCCGTAAGATAAAAAATACATCAATATGAACTTGTGATTAGACTATTTATGTAAGAGTGTAATTTCCAAGCAAGATGGTAAAATACTGAATTTAAAAACTTGAAAAATAAATATCTTCAAACCTTACAATTAATTTATGGTTGTTATTTAATTTGTATCTGGAGAAACATTGAATGTAAAAATCAATGACTTTCAAATTGAATAATAATGAGTTTAATTGGCACAAAGAATAACATATAATAAATTTGGCACAAGACTGATGTAAAACATATTAAATCATCAACAAAATAAAATATATAGAGAGTGTCAGACAAGTTAATCATTGTAAAATTTAATACTGGTTGGCATTTTAAGCAATAAAAAAACATGGTAATAATTATTACATTATGAAAACAAATGCATAAATATTTGACTCAAATGAAAAACAAGCTGGAACAAAAAAGCTATATAGTTACTTGCTGCAAAATAACTATTTGTGTGTGTGTCAAAGTACAAAAATAAAGTTTTAAATACAGAACCTCTTGTCTCTTATTACATAAACCGCGGCACAGGAGTGTTATAAAGCCATTTAATAAAACCGATATTACACTAGTGTAATAACAATTTTATGGGACACATTTGCACTATCTATAAACATGGCGTTAAAGCAACAGTAAACTAGAGCAGACATCGATAGAGACAATATCGATGTATCATTGATATTTTTCTGTCGAACAATAATCAATACAAAATTGAAAAAAATTGATTGTTTAAAGGTCTATAAAAATGAAAATTCACTAAAAAGATACACAAAAGCAGATGGCCGTGTCTAACACTAAGCTGTTGCTCCATAATGGACACATTTCATAGCAGTTATGACAAAATATAATCAGAAAAAAATCATGCAAAGGTACACAACCTATCTATTTTACTAAAAATCATTTAAACAGGTATGAAAAAGTATTATATACAAGAAAATAAGAGTATTTTTAGATATATTGGTGTAATGCCAATATTTAGTCAGCCAATATCAATGTATCGTCAATATGCTTTGCACTGAATCTATGACAGCACTACAATAAACTTTTCTTTTTTTTGAATATGTGATAAATAGAATATTATATTTTTGTAGATTCAATACTTAATTTATTGAACTCGTTGAATAAAACAATATTATGCTCGCATAATGATTTTATTCAACTTGTTCAATAAATTTAGTATAAAAACCTACTCATTCTACATCCTCCATATTTCAAGGAACATACTTTGAAATAAAAATTTACATCTACTTCTGTCAGTGCAAGGGACCCACAATATTTCATGATACTAACATTTTTAAATCAATGACTTTTTCCACATGCTTTATCAAAGCTTTCACATTGGTGATTTACAGAAAAAAAGAGAAAATAAATGGTGCATAACTAGTAAAACAGTATTTAAATGCTAATGAAAGTTCTCATGTTTTATCAGTCCATGTAAGTATAATTATGTATCTTTTTTGGAGGACAGTTTTGAAATCTCAATTTTTCTAAATTTTCACTTGAGGTATTGTGGCTGCCTTTCTATTTTTACGACCTCCCTCACGGTCTTTGGCTGTCCTCAAACCATTCTCTGGTTATAAATTCGACCTCTGCTGTGGTTGTTCCTGGTGTGGTCTTCTGCACTGCCTCTGTAAATTACATAAAAAAACGCAATGTTCATTTGACTTTTTTTACAGTGATATTCTCTGTACGTCTTGTTTAAATTTTTGCAAGTTAAGGAAATTATTTGAATAAGTTCACCTGCTCTTCATTGTTATGACAACTGAAATGTACATACCTTCAAAACGTTTGAGTAACAAATAATGGGCTTTATACTTTAATAGATTTTGAATTTCTGAATAAATAACAAAACATAAAAGTTTGTCTGCTTTTTTTTCATTTTAATTGATAGAAGCCAATCTAAAACAAGATTAATCAGAAAACCAATCCAAAACAGTACATTTATGCAAAAAAAAAATGCAAAAAAACTTTATGACTTACTACAAATCACTTCCGCTATTTTCAACGATCCAAATTTAAGCTTTCCTTTCTTTCCGTAACCAGTTGTAACTCTCTGCCAAACGGCTTTTGATTACATGGCTCAGAATTCGCCTGACCATATCTGGTGTGTTTTTCCCGCCAATCAAAGACAGGTAGTTGACCCTGAAATGTTAAGTGTCATTAAGGCTTAACACTAAAACAGTATTTAAACATAACAAAATTTCAATTTTTTGAAAAGAACTATAATGAAAAGAACTATGAATATGAAGAAATAATTTTTTAAAAAACAAATCTCATTATCTGTTTTCATAGTACATGTATTTTAATGGTTTTACTGTATGCTTCAGCTTTTACAGCTAAAATTACATGTTTTAAAATTTACAAAAAAAGAACAAAATTCGATAAATTTATCATTGTATAATGAATTGGCCAAAAACAAGCATTTGCTTTCAGAGGCACTTATTAAAGGGCATTGAGACAGTACATGTATATATACTGATAGACAAAAAATACACTTGTAGAGACAGGTTTTCTTACCATGTTGTTGAGAACAGTCTGTTGTCTCAACTCTTTTTCTAACCCTTCAACATCCTCCAAAGATTGGAGGGGAAGGGTAATACCTTCAGGCAGACTGAAGGTACTGGAGCTGCTCACTTTTGACGCTCCTAGCTCCTGTACCATATCTAGAAGAGTTTCAAGCATTCTACGTTGCTGGTTTTTGTTCGATTCTAATTTTTTCGATACTATTGAACACTTCTCTTGAGAAGCGAACATGATCTCTATCTAAAATTTGGCAAGAAAAAAAAAATGTTATTACACAAAATCAGGAAAAAAATCACAGTAATGTCATGGTTCTCAAGGCTAAATGTTCATCCTTAAGAAAGATGACAAGTCTAGCTTGATATATAACAACATTAAATTTTTACGCAATTAATCTTATGTTAGCACCCATTGTTTTTTAAGAAATTACCCTGACCTTTTTTTTTTGGAGCAAATTATGAAGAGAAGTCAACCTCAATTACATACAATGCAAAGCTAATTATCAACAAAATACAAAAAAAGGTATGTATAACTAAAAAGGCCAAAACATACTTGCATCTGGAGCTGCTGTTTCTTGCGTCTTTGAGCCAACTTTCACATTTGGAGTTGGTTGCCAATGGGATACGTGGCGGTGGTTTAGGAAGAGATGGCGATTTTGTTGAAGGCAGTGGTGATGAGATGGAAGACAGTGGTGATGAGATGGAAGACGGTGGTGAGATGGAAGACGGTGGTGATGATTTAGAAACTGTCAAAAGCATTGATTGAACTTCTTCCTGAGACCCTTCCTCTGTTATCTTACTGCGTGAAACAGCAGTAAAATCATGCCTGTTCCTCATTTTCATCAGATGAAGAAATACTGTTTTTTCTAAAATAGTTAAAAAACATAACCCCTGTATTAATTTAACATAATAAAGCTCTAATCAAGGGAAATATTCAATATTTCGTTATTTACATGTTATGTGGGATAAATGACTGATTTTAACAGTATCAATCACTATAAATTTTACTGCGTTACTAACGTGTAGACGTTACTAATGCAGTAAGAGTAAAGACGTATTTATGTATAAATTTGGATCATTTTTTTTTTAATTTACATTTAACTGTAATTGCCGTTTGCAATTATTTCTTCTTTGTTCAATTCATAGTATTTACTTTAAAATACATTTTTAAAATTTTCATGAAAATAAGCATGAATCTGATGGCATGCTGCTTTAAAGACTTTAAAGATGTTGTTGACAGTACCTTTAATCAATGTACTGTATTCCATATGCATTTATTTTAGTATAATTAATTATATGATTAAGCTAGACTTACCTGTAAGGTGAAGGTTAATCATGATTTCATCCACATAAAACTCACTAAGGGCTCACACAGAGAGAAGACGCAGCTATCAGCAGCCAGTGGTCATATTTTAGAGTAAGTATAATGTCGAATAATATCGGCAAAAAGAATCACGAACAGTTTAAACGGGGAGGTAGCGGGTTGGGTGTGTGAGCCCTTAAGTGAGTTTTATGTGGATGAAATCATGATTAACCTTCACCTTACAGGTAAGTCTAGCTTTAATCATATAATTTCATCCTACATATAAACTCACTAATGGGCCCACAGAGATTTTTAGAGTCCTTTTTTGACGCTATTATGGAAACGACATTATGTCCCGTTTTACTCCATTATGCTATTATGGAGAACATGCAACGATTTAATTTCATGTCAGAAAAGTCTTTATGTGTTTAGTAATTATTAATTTTACACAGAATGTAAATGTCGAATACTACGACATAGAATGTAAATAATTTTTATATATGTTAACGCAAATTACCGATATCTATGATACCCTGCATAGAATTACCATCGGTATTTGACAGTGGTTTATTATAGTATTTAGCGAATGTCTTTTAGCATTGCTCCATCCCGCTGATTCAATTATCGTCTGTAACGGGACTCCACATGTGTGCGATTGAAGACGCAGCAGCGCACGTGCTATGTGGTTTGAATGATTTATGCACCTTAGCACTGTGGCATAATTAGTTTAATTCAGCGATAAATAGGCCCAATGGGGCTTAATGGTTGATATCAGTAATTTATTAGTGTTTCTAAGGTCTTTCGTTCTCTGTAAAAACTCACTAATGACACTTACAATAAACAATCGTTTATCATGTTTGAAACGGTGTCTGATGGCGACCAGGTTTCGATGCTGGAATATTTATTATCAATCTTTCCCCTGAAATATTAATGTCTTCCAAACAAATAAGATGGGGTGTTTTGACACCGTTAAGCTGACAAAAATAAAAACAATATGCTTAATTAGCCAGCCCAGAATAATAATGTATTATTTTCTGTTTTTCAACTGTTCGCACGTCCCATATCATTTTATACCTCGGCTTTGTGTTAAATACACCTTTCAGGGTGTTATCGCCGAGATCTACGTGCGAAGTAATCTAAACATCGCGCTATTATATCTGTTATCCTGGGATGAAAAAACACCTATCACTGTTGCTACAAGGGGTTTAAAGGGATCGTGTTTCCCTTCACAGACATGAAACCATTGTATAAAATATCTTTCATGCTGTTTCCTGTTTTTCCCCCGCCACGAATTGATTAAAATCTACCGATCCTTTAATATTATTTATTTATTTATTTATTTTTGAAATCCTTTTATTTTCAAGCGCTGCCCTGATATAGGAAAATGCGCAATTCTCATCTTTTTTTAATGTGTGTCTTCTTTCCTTGCCGATGGCCAGTGTAAGTCTTTAGCAGGCATGGTGCAACAATAAGTTGTATAAATGTCGGCCACCAAGTCTGTGCAGGCCAAATTGGTGCTACTAAACACAATAGTTCTTTCTAATTGATCTATTTCTACTTTCTGCAGGACCCTGGCAATTACACTGAAAGATGGACAACAATAATAACCCTTAGCATGCCATGAGAATAAAAAAGCGTCTATAGTAAAATTGACTTTGAAAATCATCCGGGTCAGGTTTTCTTGAAACGTTTGTCGGAACTTGGCGGTTAAACGAATTGCAAATACAACTTTATTAAAGACGTGCAAAGACCAACATATTGCTGTGAATATATCGGGAGATATATTCCATTTGAGACCTTCAGTTCCAGTTTGTTGCCGTTCGGTTAAATGACCCCAATACATCATGATGTGCTGACAAAATAACGTGTTTTTTTGTGTTTTTTTTTCCCTATTTAATACACAATCCCAGATATCTCGCTCAATTTTTATTCAATGAATATATTCTTCATATTCCTCGTAGTTTTGTCCATGTAAATTTTAAAATGGAGATTCGGTGTTTTTTTAAAGGGCAACAATAGCCGTATTTGACACACTTTTAATTCTAACACTTGATGTGTTGCTTTTGTTCTTTCGCTTGTTCTCCTATTTTTGTTTTATCATACGCGCCTCAATTATGTGCCGAAGAATCGGTAAACATAACTTTATTCGGGTCAGGCGATGTAATAGTATTAAATATTGATGTATATCGCAAAAATGTTCCGAAATATCTAGCGTTTATAATAAAAAAAACTTTTTTTTTTTTTTTTTTTTTTTTTTGTCAGGCCGGTGATGCCGCAACCAGTTTGCCAAATAATTTTTTGAAAAAATTTTAAATCGTTTTTTAGCCGGCATTTCTATTATGTTAGTGCACAGCACACATTTCCTCCGTTATATAGTGCACAGCACAAATTCCAAAATTCCAAATACATACAATCTTTTTCGACGGAATCAAGACAGATTTACTCATTGAAATCGGCAAACCTAACTTGTCTAATAAATCAATTGTTTTACTGATATTTAGAGCAATAAACATGTGTCGTCGATATGAATAATTGAACTTAAATGACCCCGCGCTCTTAGAGAAAATACTTTCTTCAACAGTTGAGTAAAAATCATAGGGCATTTTTTTTTTTTTTTTTTTTTTTTTTTGTAAAATCACATCACAAGCGATTGGAAAGAAACGGAAATGGTTCTTATCGGTTCGTTTAAAGGTATAGTGGTAAAAGCATTCCCAAATGTCAACCTTGCTAAAGTAACAATTTATCTCATTTCTGTGGTTACTGACCCCCAAAGTTTCTATTTTAAAATGTATTGTGTTGACGAATATTGATTGATTTTAATTTCAAAAAGGTTCTAATTCGTCCGTCTGATTTTAGTCTTATGTTCGAAATGTATTCTCCGTCAAAGTTTTCGTTTGCAACTTAATATTATTTGATTTTTCAAACTGTATTACTTGTTGCACACGATAACCAACCTACAGTTTCTCGAATTCATTTATCCTTGGTTATTCTTCCCCTCATTCACCGCCATTCTGATCTTCGCCGCCCGTAAATTATTTGAGAATTAATCCGGGTAAAGGAATATTTCATATAATGGTAAATTACTTCAAATATTATTTTTATGTGCTCTTGAAAGGAAAATATTCTTTTTCTGAATTTTGATCTGTAGGTTTGTTGTTAACGTCGTCGCTGTTGATTAAATTCAAGTTGGCCTGTGAGTTGAGGGCATGTTTTCGTTTGTTACCAGGGACGACATGTCAAAAAGCCCGCCTGGAAATAAGCTGTTGTTAATTGTCCCGAAACCTTTTAAGTTCTTCATTTACTTCATCGACAAACATATGAGTGGCTAAAGGATTTGTTGTACAATTTGGTCAATAAAGCGGGAGGAGTTCTTTCTTTATCCTGTCACGTAGCACCTTCAGGAGAAGTGGCGAGAAAGGCGTTGGTAAACAGTTTGAAAATGTCTCAAATCAACTCTTTCATTTTTGGTTGTCCATCTGTTTTTAAACTCATCCATAGCCTTTAATGTGGTACCAAAGCAGACGAAAAATGTTTCTGCGTACTCTGCAACAGAAAATCCTTCGCTTTGACTTTGACTTGGCAAGTGTTGCCACCACTGATAATTCGACAAAGGTAATGTAGACAATAGGCATTGTTAGGCCTCCTATATCATCAAAAATTTCCTTTATGTTTCTTCTTTTCGATTTTTACATGCAAAGCCTTATAGCTTTAAAGTAAAGTTTTCATTATCGTCAGTCATGTTTCTAAATCATCCTAGAAGAAATTCATCATGCAGTCTGCATTCATAACTTTTTCGTCGGTGACACCTGATTCTGTGAAAAAGTTTCCGACGTTCAAATCATCTGAATATGAATCATCGCTCGCACAAAAACGTGTCGAACATGTTTCCTACGAGGTAACTGCAGGTCTTTTCAAAGAATTAACTTCAGACTTCATTTCAGTCAGAGAATCCGCTTAACCTTTTATCGCATTTAGGATGCCTTCTAATTGACCGGAAAATCCTCGCTGCTGGTGTCCCGATTTTGTTCAAAGAATATTGGAAATATTTGACAGTGTGTTTCAAATCTCCTGGTCGCCGGCCCTGACTCTGAAGTTGTTTTTGAAACAGCTGGACTCGACTAGCCATTACTAGCAGTCCGTTCAATAAAAAATCGCGTTAGAAATAGATATAAACGATAACAATTTTATCGCAATCAATCGTAAATAACACCGTCAAATAGATACATTAATTCGACAGTGGTATGCAAACGAAGACCGAAGTACATGGACAATGATATATATATTTGGAAAGAATATATAATACACACACAACTTTTCCTTTGTGTTTGGCAAGCATTATTGTGAACTAGTGTAAATTTTGCCTGTGGCGTTCAGACATTTTTTTTTTTTAAATATTTTTAATTTATTTATTAATTTTCAATTTATTGTATGCGATGTTGCTTGGACTCTCCCTACTGCAACAAATATGTTCATGTATTTTGTATGTGGTGTTCAGACAATTTAAGCTTTTCCATGTTGTTTGGATAAGCATAATTACGAACAAATGTATCTTTTGTCTGTGGTGTTCAGACAATTTAAGCTTTTTCATGTTGTTTGGATAAGCATAATTACGAACAAATGTATCTTTTATCTGTGGTGTTCAGATATCTTTAGCTTTTCCCTGTTGTATGGATAAGCATTATTACAAACAAATGTATCTTTTGTCTGTGGTGTTCAGACAATTCAAGCTTTTCCATGTTGTTTGGATAAGCATAATTACGAGCAAATGCATCTTTTGTCTGTGGTGTTCAGACATCTTTAGCTTTCCCCTGTTGTATGGATAAGCATAATTACGAACAAATGTATCTTTTGTCTGTGGTGTTCAGACAATTTAAGCTTTTCCATGGTGTTTGGATCAGCATAATTATGAACAAATGTATCTTTTGTCTGTGGTGTTCAGACAGTTTTAGCTTTTCCATGGTGTTTGGATAAGCAAAATTACGAACAAATGTATCTTTTGTCTGTGGTGTTCAGACAATTAAGGCTGTTCCATGGTGTTTGGATCAGCATAATTACGAACATTTGTATTTTGCCTTGTCTGTGGTGTTCAGACATTTTGTATAGACAACTTAAGCATTATCCTGAACAAATGTCGTATTTTGACTAGCTGTGATGTTCAGATTAAATTGGCTATTAAGACGTTATATAATATGTTATACAATATGTCACTAAAATAAAAATATCGTCTGTGGTGTTCAGACTTAAAAAGATTTTTTTTTTTTTTTTTTTTTTTTTTAAGAACAGGTAAATCATTTTTAGGTATTAACTTAAAATAAAACATACACAAATAAAGTAAACGTACCTCTTATCACACTATTTTTAACTGCTTAATAATAATATCCACAATTGACTTCACTTTAAAGTCCGAAATAAAAGCAAATTAAATAAAATCTTGTGAAACATATAACACGCTTTAAGAACTTCAATTATACGTCTTGACCGTAGCTGCTAATGCCTCGTTATGACCACTGGCTGCTGATAGCTGCGTCTTCTCTCTGTGGGGCCCATTAGTGAGTTTATATGTAGGATGAAATTCTACAAGTGGCCAGATATCAGCTACATGACCCTAGTCATTGAGCATTTGAAAGCTACTTGATTTTTTTACATGATATAAAAAAAATTATAATAATTGTGAGTGTCATCACTGATGGTGACTGAAAGATACTAGAGAATGTTTTTTAACATTTCACAATTAACTTCTAGCCAAGAAAAACAGCTACCTGATTTTTCTCTTTGATCGGCGGTATGAATCTGCCTCATCTTCACTAGCCTCTAAGGCAGTTGCTAGGTCAGATTCATCTTCTGCTTCACGCAGCTTCTTTCGTACCTTATCATATGATTCTACAACAGCAATAATTTAAATATATTAATTTTAAGTAGTTTAAGCCAATTTTGACCACAATGTGATATTAACAATGTAATTCAATCAATATTTATAAGCATGACAAAGAAAGTGTAATTTTACATTTTTTAAGACAAGCCTGATTCAATTGAAATTTTCTTTTAAAATTACATGTATTCAGTATTTGCAATAATCCTTACTTACACAAAAGGATATATTTACATATAAATACAAACATACAAATCTGGTTGAAAGTAAATCAAAATAATCAAATTAACACAATTTACCATGTTCGTACAATTCACGGATTGGGAAGGATTGCCAATCACCCTGCGGCTCAATCTTCTTCATTGCAGCTTTAGTAATTTTAGAAGATACCTTCCAGCTTGGCCATAAAGCACATTTTGTTCCATCACGCCATTTGTCCGGAATTACAGCTAAACATTTTTCATCAGTGAATTCAACAAGCACGTACATTCTAAATGTAGTAACACAAACATTCCAACAAACTTTCAAAAGAAAGTGATGAAAATGTACCAATATTTTACAATATAAGTCTTTATTGCTTAGACAAATGGATTCACATTTGCAGATTTTTTTAAACATATAAAGGGCTGTGATTTTCTTAAACTATAAAATGTCAGCACATATCTACCTATTTCATGACACGGTTTTGTTTGCTAATATCTAAACTTTTACAACAATTTTTAATGATTGTACATGTACATACTTTCCCTTTCCAGAAAGAGACCTAACGAAACATATAAATTAGGTCAAACATAACTACATTCTGAATTGCTAAAATTTCTCTTAAGGTTTTTTCCACAGCGTTTTCCCCCCGTAAATAACTGATACCTGCAAACGGCACCCTTCCCAATAGAAAATAAACAGCAAATATCCTGAATCATGACTGGTAAACTCCCTAAATAAAACTGAAATTTACCACAAAAATTGGCAAAATTCAAGGTAAAAAAAAAAACCCAAAAAAACAGTAATGGATGCCTCCATATTTATTAGTGATTTACAATAAAAACCAAGTATAACCACATGAGTAATATTCGTACCCAATTCATTTCGTACTTTCAACATCATTTATATAAAATTTTATCAATTTTTTTTTCAACCTTAAGAAATCATACATGGTTTAAGAGTGTATTTTTTACTTAGATTAATGAATATTTTGCATCTTTTGTAAAATTCCAAATTTCAGTAAAACCCATGTCAAGTACTGGCACTATTCCAAATGCAGGGAAAATAAACCACTGTTCCATATTATAGGTTGTTTGTTATACTCCTACGGATGAGAAAGGGGCCGAATATCTCAAATAAAAAATACTGTAAAACCATGTTGTATAATGCACAGGAGATTCAATAGAAATTTTTTATATCTTTTACTTTAGGATATTTTTGCATTTTTGCCATTTTTTGGCATAAGGAAAAAACCTTTAATCAGTTGTAAAATATAAGGAAAAAACATCAATTTAACTTGTTTAGATTCTTAGGAAACACATAAAAGGCCTCCAAAATGCCTTTATTTCTCATAATCATTTTAATTTTGGTGTATTTATAGTATCCAAAAAGTTACTCTTTGGCCAATTACTGGAACCATCTTTTTCATCTGTTGCTTTTTGGAAATAAGTAAACTTACAGTGACTAAGTATTTTGTATCGAAGTCAAAATAATACTTTGTGACAAATAACTTCACATTTATCGCTACTTTTCAGGTAATAATTAAGCATTTACAAAAATGTAATATCTCTGTAAAACCACTGTTTAACCATTATAAAAATGAATGTTTTCCTTTTTTAAAGAAGTAAAAATTTATTTAATTCTAAGGCTTAATTAATGTGTAAAAATTACTTTATAATGTGTGCAGAAGGGGAATGGTCAAAAACTTTTCCTGGAAAGGTAAGAGAACACACTTGAAAACCTCACAAGCTTTGGTAACTTTCATTTCTCCAGTTAGACCAGAAACTACAAAAATTCTAAGGTCAGATGAAAGTAAAGGAATATCAAAGAAGTTAGAGACATCTCCAAATTCCTCATATATTAGTGACTTTTCTTTGTCAGTACTTTCACAAACTATGTTTCTTATAAGACCAACTTTATCTCCAACTAAAATGCAATTGTCACCAGTTTTTACAGAAAAGTACACTTCTTTTAACTGCAGTTCTTTGTATTGTTTTTGAAGCCTAACCTGCGGACTGATTGGTCCATTAATGTGATTTTTTTTAACAACACCAGATGTTTTCAACTTTTTGTCTTTTATTTGGTTGCCAATTACTATTTTCAGACAGTCTTCGTATTACTTGTTGAAGTGGAAAATTTGGTTTTCTTACAAGTCGTTTCAACTTCCCTAGGAAACTCTCAAATATGAACGCTGAAAAATTATCCAGAACACCATTTTTTCTACATCACCTGCCAAGTGGACTAAATTATGAACATTATAGACAACTGTGTCTTGACCATATATCCTTGCAAAGTCATGCACAAACAAGCGTAGAAGGTCGTTTGCATAATTACAATACACACTACAATAAAATGGGCTGGAGAGACAATATATAGCAACAAACAACAACATAAAGTGCTTATAGGTTGAGCGTGAAATAGTGCTGAACAGGACGCAAGGACCGGTATAGAGTAAAAACTGTCTGAGTTCTGTTGCTTTCCATCTATCAATCTCATTCAAAGGTCTCCCTTTCCTCAGGAACTCTCGTGGAAGGTACTTCTGTAAACCTATCAGTTTCTCTGAAATTAAGGCTACAGACCTGGCAGCAATCCTACAATTAGATTCCAGGGGGCCTCTCATCCATAACAGAAGCAAACGTTTAACAACGCCTAAACATACTAAGTGCATATAATCCAATGGGAATTGTGAGACCATACCAATGGAAAGATTCATTAATGGTGAGCGACCTAGATGGTGTCCTTCAGAAGACAATTCATTGAACTGAAAATCAGTTCTCAAAGGGGAATCAATTAAAGGAAATGTCATTTTGCCTTTCCAACAACCTTTTTGCATACACTTATCACATCCATGGTAACCACTGTGACCCTTAATCTGCTTAACATATGCCTTAGCAGGGGCATCACATATAATGGCTGATAAATTCACTTTCAAATACTGATTTGTTTCTTCTACATGCAAAAGATTCTGTTCAAGATACTGCATTTCTTCAACAAAGTCATGCAAGAATGCATTTACATCCCCTGGCTTTGAATTGCCTACATAAAGTCCAATTACAAATGGCTCAGATGAAAATGACTTAACAAGTCTACCTAAAATTGGCCAAAATTGAGTGTTGGAACTCTTGAATAAAGGCAAACCATCTATATTAATCTGAATAGACAAACTGTCAGCTGCACAAAAAGAATATGTTGGCTCTTTCAACAAAATTTTTTTTAAGCCTGCAGAGATGCCAAAGTGGTGGTAAGATCCGCCATTCATTTCACTGATTTCATACACTTTTTTCGTCTTCAACAAAGTTCGTGGATCTTTGGGGAGAAAGTCATGGTAGGTACTTAAAATATGTAAAAGTTCATACACTGCAGTGTGTGGAATGCTGAACTTTGTTACCCAACCTGCCAACTTGTCCTTAAGATCAATTTCAATATCATCTATGCTTTCTTCTGATGAGGAAGTATCAGATATATCATCAAAACTCAATGTTGAATCATCTAAGTTCTGATCAGAATTAATTTGCAAAATTTCATTGTGCTGTCTATCACATGCAGCTTCTCCCACTATGTCATCAGAAGTTACGTTCGATTGATTACCCTCGCTACAATTATTCTGGTCATTTTCACGTGTGTCATTGTAAACAAAATCCATGTGCTCCCTAACATTGGATCTAATTTCTCGGTAAGACCTCCAATAGGACATACTTGCTTACAATTAGTACAAGGATTATTTGGTTTGCCAAGCTATAGACTACGTATGTGTAGGCAATCCAAATTTAGGGTAATCCGAATCACTTCATTTAATTTCTTTTTAATCCAACAAAAACAAAATGATGTTCCAAATGTTTCAATGAATTCAAAGAATCAATGCATATAAGTATACAAAATTTAGCACCTGTGTGTAGGGAAATATATGTTTCGTGTGATCCAGAAGTACTTGAATGACAAGTTTTTCAGATAACCTTTGTTTTAAATGAAGGCTTTAAAATTTTGATCTGCAGTGTATATTTTACATTTCTTTTCTCATGCTGTAGGGTAATCAATTAATAAATTTTCGCGTTGTTTTTCTATTTTTACTGCAACAGTAGATCTATAAAAGATGGTAATAATGTGATGTTTAAGAAGAAAGAAATGACACCAGTTCCTTTTAGATTATGTCATTTAAATAAAATATAGCTTTCGATATAAAGGTGATTCTAATTGCCTACACTAACTGTATACCCAGCACTATCACCTTTAAAACAGAAAATGAAAAATAAAAAAATGAATGATTATTTTAACCAACTTCCCTGCTCATATTCATATCAATTAAAGAAAAAATTCCAGTAGAAGGGAAAGCATGTACATGCACATTAATAAACTGTGAAAGTGAAAATTAACAGCAAGTATGCAAAACACAAACATATTTTTTTTTACAAAATAAAATTATAAAAGCGAATATTTAGTATATTCTAACTTTGATGTGCAAATTATCACTGCCCTGTTAATGCATGTCGCGAAAATATGTAACAAATATTTTCAACCTTGATTTTACATTAAAATCAGACAAACAGATAAATGGTTTATTTTTCCAATCACTTAAAATGTAAAAATCAAATAATTAACAATGTTTACACATTTGATAAATCATCATTACTTTAAAATATATATAATTTCATCACCTTCCCTTGATTAGCTTTTTGGCGCTTGTTCTGTTGAAAGTAGAAATGCAGTGAATATTTGCCAGATTTGCATTTAAATTATAATTGAAGAGTGTCTTTTATGTGCTTAGAAAATAAATATTGAATTCAATTACAAACAACATATCATTTTAAAACTCAGCTAAAATTATTTTATAAATTCATATCGAAAATGTACAATTATTTGCTGCATGGTAATCAAGGGAGGGAATAAACCTGACAGAATTCCCTCCCTTGTCTACTACAAAAAACCGGACAGTAAGACAGTACGTAAATATAATAAGTAAAGAACAACGGGGTTTCATTGGAATTAATTTATTTCATAATATTTCAACGATTTAACAAAATATGGATATGTGACAGAAAACGCAATATCGTACCGATATACAAAATAGTTGCATTTATCAGCCATTCTCCCATAATTGAAGCACTTTTGGTTCACAAAAAATGAAAAATCTGACTTTCATAAACAACGTTTTCTATGATTTGCTTTTAATGTTCAATACCTTGGACAGATTGTGTGGAAGTTTAACACACACCATTCGCTCCGTTTGTATACTGAAAGCGTTTGAAGTGAGTTACTGAATTACATTGTTACGGAACATATATATACCATAGGAATTACTTTGGAATTATTGTTTAACTAACATTTTAAATTAAACAATCCGAAAGAATATGCATTGTAAAGTTGAAGACCAATGGTTACCTTAAGCAAAAATATTTCATGTCATATCTTATTCTGAAACTTGTATACTTCGTATTTGAAAAGCTTGTATAAGCAAATATTTTCGTAACTAAAGATTGACATTATTTCGATACAATGCACAAACAAATACTGTCATAAAAGTTATCGAATTATATCTAAAACAGAAGCAGAAAACAAATCAAACATAACTTTTAATCGGTGTAACGTTCCCAAAAAAACTTCGCTGCACAAATGTTCATCAAACAGTCCTTATGATCTCTTACGGAACATAGGTGAAAAATTATAAAACATAGGATTTATAACTCAATATTTTTACTCTTTAAAATTACTTTAACAATTTAAATGTGGTATCTTCACAAACAACAATAATCATAAAACACTGTATCAATTAAAAATAACATCAACAGTTTAATTTAGTGAGTAGTGCAGGAAAAGATATATGTTACGGAACATATGTTATGGAAAATAAAATATTATGTTTTTCACTGAAAATGAACAAGAATTTTTTTTCTTCACTTTTATTTGCTTTATTTCTGCCTAATTTACACAAATTTGTTGTAATGTTATAATGTTTCATGTAGTTCTCTCTACATTTTCTTCACCAGTGCTTTTTCTTTTTTGAATGGGAACATACTTTTTTCTCCTTTCTTTCTCTTTTGAATGATTTGTTGTTTTCCCCTCTCTGCTTTTGTCTTTTGTATTTCTGTATTTAAAAGCACCATTCTACACAAGAAAATCGTTGCATATTATAAATTTATTAACCTTGATACATGATCATCATTAAAATATTATTTTTATCATGATTATCAATATAACAATTACATAATAATCATCATTTTTATCATTATTACATTAATATCATTATTAATATTACTTTTTTCATGATAATTGTAATTCTAAAACTTTTAGATAATGTAAGTGACATAATGATACAATTTTGGTATTTTATAAATAGTAAAAAACATGAAAAATCATATTCAAACATAGCATTTATGAATGCTATGTTCCGTAACAAATTTGAAATGTTCCGTAACGGAAAGCTGCAACCTTACAACACAATACAAATCATGTTAGACTTCCAGTTAATATTGGACACCATTTTCGTATATCTTTATAATGAAAAAACTCACTGGAAAACAGTTTTTGTAAACAAACTGAATATATGTATTATGGTGCTGAAAAAAGATGATAGAAAACTATGCTTCCGTAACAAATTGTCTTTGACTATTTGATAAACTGTGCACTAATTTTTCATCGAAAAAATGTGTTCCGTGTTTGAAACCAATA